AATTGTTTGCTCTGCAGCAGCCTGCACATCTTCTTTCTACAATTATTTTGGATTAATGCTGGACAGTCCTATTGAGCTGTTAAATCTTTCCTGCTGGTTCAATTTTTAGAAATCAGGAGAAAATGGAGGGGCACATATGGAAAAGGTTCCCAAAATGAGTGTTTTCTACTGCGGCATCTGTCCTGTAGAATGTCTCTTCCCCCCACCCAGAAGTGTGGGGGTGGCCACCACACCTCTAGGAGTAAGATGTTCCAAAGTGGGGGCAACGCACAGAAGGGTTTCTTGCTGGATCCTCCTTCCAGTCAAAATTCTTTAACAGGATTTGCAATGTACCATCCCTGTGTGACTGGATGCAATGGGGCAATCGAATTAGATGGTTCCTCAGGTAACCAGTGTCATGCCATGAGGGGCTTTAAATGTGAGAACTAACATCTTGAATTGACCTGGAAGCTAACTGGCACCTAATGCAGCTTGCAGAGCAAAGATGTTATATGCTGCACATGTAACATCTCTGCTATGCAAGCTGCCTTGTGCACCAGTGGTAGCTTCCAGATACTCTACAGACATAGCCTCAGGTAGAGCACATTGCATTAGTTCATTGAGGAATTTATTTTACCATCTTTAATTTTAAATTATATATGTCTAGTTGTATTTTAACATAACGTTTATTGGATGTTAATTATTATGTGAACAATGGTGGGCGTAAGCCAAAAAATGTTTATATGTTAAATAAATATACACATAAATTACACATTTCTATATCAGGAATCACTCACTCTCCAGTACAGAATTCATATTATTATTTTATGCCAGTTTTATTCCATTTAAAATGTTATGGTTTTCTCTCCAAAGCACCTTGGAAAATTAGTAAAGTTCTTGAGAAATTTCTTAAAGAGATGGCAACCATCCACCACTAAACTATATTTCCCAGAGTTCGGTAAAAAATATTTGTCAAATCATTCTAGATTCATAATAAATACTCCCAACTGACAAAAAAGGTTAACTGTTTTCATTGCTATTAACTGCAAATGTCATGGTGGCCAAATTGCAGCTTGCTATTAATGTGCAATTGACTGGGCAATGTTACTTAAGTCATCAGTGTCCTTCATGTCATTCCTTGGACAAACATTTCATTTAGCAGAGTTATAAGAACTGTGGGGATTGCACAACAGAATGAGAATAGTACACCTGCAGATGGTTGGTCCTCTATTTATGGTTGCCTGACAGCTATAATGAATGGCAAATGGAGGGTGTTCATTTTTTCTCGGGCCTGACGATTTTTTCCACAGTTTAAAAATATGACTGAAGTTTATGCACCTGGCATTAATTACGGGTTTTAAATGGCTCTGAGTCCCACACTAAGGTACTGAGGAAAAAGCCATAATATATTCTCAGTTTTTTATGAAAGAATATCATTGCTAACCAACCACAACTTCTGCTGGAAACCCTTACATGAAAAGTCCATCTTATATTACAGTTTAATTTGTAACCACATCCAGTCAACCATCTACAGCCTGCCATTGAGGATGAGGTTATCTTTAATATCTTACCTGTTTTTGTTTTTGTTTGGAGGGGTTTTTGTGTGTGTGTGTGTGTGTGTGTGTGTGTGTGTGGTTTTGAGCAGATGATCAAATGTTCTACTGCCCTTATAATCTTGTGGTAAACTTCAAAGACTAATCCAGAACCTTCCAGGTGTCTGCATCATGCTTTGTTCTCTTTCTAACATTGTTTTTCTCTCTCTGTTCTTCTACTTTCTCTTTCTGTTTCTCCAGTAATATTCCATTCAAATCTTCTAAATTCAGGGATTATATGCTGTGCTAACCAAGCATAATTGCTTCTCCCCATCTCATTTTTCAAGTGAGGTAATCATATTTACCTTTTCAATAACGGTGTCTCAAATATTTAAAAAGCTCCTTCTGTGTTACCTTACTTGTATTTCTTACAGCTATCTTATTATTTCTTACTTTGCAAAATATCTATTTGATATGTTTAAGAATTACAACATACAATTGAAGGTTCATGACATTTTACTACCTGAAAATGGGTCTTTATATTTTCTGAAGCTATTGCAATGTGTGTCTGAAGCTCGTCCCTTTTTTTTTCCTGGATTCTGGCACCATCTCCTCCCAACCACCACCTATAAAGTAACAAATTATTTTGAGTTGACCTCATGTCCCAGTGATATCATGAACACATCCATGCGGTTACCTTGGCAACAGTATAGCAATCATCCAAGAGGTTTTTCCACACTGCAGGCTAACCTACAACCTACCATCTCCCATCTCCAAACTAGGTTTGACCCTCCTTCTCTCCTCCGTCCAAATAAGGTCAATCATATGCTGCCACCTGCTGTGATTGTGTAAAAATGAAAGAAAGAAGAAATATCAAGTTCTAACTGAACTTTCTTTGGCATGATCAGTTAGTCGCCCCTGATAATATCTATAAAATATCATTTCCATTCCTGGAATATCCATGGTATGTTTCGCATTTCTCAGTAGAACATGTGTGCGGTGCTTCTTTAGCAGGGAGGAAACCAAATTTCCCTACCAATAATACCTGTCAGTGCTTGGTCATCAGCTAGCAGAAAAAGACATTGCATTATGTGTCAGGATCTGCATCCATTGTTCCCACGTATGCTAAATTTCATTGGACTAGCATTTCACTGCCTTGTAAATATTGTTTAATTGGTAGGCTTTATGCTATGATATTACCTCTTTTTGATTCCTAGAATATATCATTTAATGACTGTTTTAGTTAGCAATAGCACTTAGAAGATATTATTGCTCTTGCTGCATATGAGTACATTATCTGTTTATATATACAACCTTCCGGCTCAAAATCACTATGTACAATTCCGCTGCAATTCTCCATCTCCTGGCATTTGTGACTATCTATTATAATTGAACTGAATCACAGTTTAATTAATGGGAAGAGTGGCTCCTATGTTATAGGATGCTTCTTTCTTCTTTCTACTCAAAACTGCATTTTTGTGGGTTAGCCTAAATTTGTGCCAAATTACCTGCAATAATTTGTGGTTATTAAATTCTCATCTCTTGATGTGGAAAGTACATTGTTCTTTTGGATTCCATCTGCTAGCATATTTTTTCCTTCCACAGGATGAAACAAATCTGATATTTAACAATAGAGTTTTGTATACACACTTGGGTGGTGGCAGATAACGTGCATTGGTACAATTACTTAAATCAACTGGGCATTCAGTTTTATTGCAGGTGGGTCCTTCCATAAATATAAAAGAGGCCCACATATCTATTTTTATACAGATTTTGGCACAAAATTACTCCCTGGAAATTTAATTTTAATACTAATCAGAATTCTTCAAACTGTTAGTCTAACACTTCAATTCATGGTGTCTTATGCATGTATAAAATCTCTCCCTCTGCATAGGTGTTTGTAGGGATGGGTTCACCCCAAGTACATAAGGGATGTCACAATTCATGTGCTGTCATTTTGACAAAAACTCAGATTGTTGTGGATGCCCATGACCCTCTAAAATGTACTTTAATCTTATCAAGAGACTTTGATCTGTGTTGACATAGATGTTTGCCCAAGAAAAATCCTGCTAATTTGTCTCACTTTTTTCTCCAATCATTAGGAATGTCTGAGGAACCTTTGAATAATGCATGATTTAGGGATATTTAAAAGCATGGAAACTGTTTTTGTTGTTGATTGTGATGGTAGAATTTATGTGTCATCTACAGTTCTGTTGTAATAAAGCAAAAAGTCTGAACCCTCTAGGAAATCAACTAATTTAGAGGTGTGTAATGCAAGGCTTATTTTTACTTGGATAAAATAGCATAACCTTATATCAGTTCAAATGAAAATTATCAGATAGATCATAAACATATAGAAAATCATTTATGAATTGCCCTAGATTTAGACTGGATACCCATTCAGAGCCCCAAAGAGGAGTACAGATTTGCAATTAATTGTTTTCCTGGAAGGTAATTCTTTCCAAAATCAACACTATTATATTTGTAACACCTATGAAACATTCCATGTAAGATACAACTGATATTTTGGTATATGTATTTGAAGGATAAATTCAGGGAGGCTGAGATAAAAGCTAATATATCTCTGATCTGAAATTATATGTCAACATCAGCACAGGAAATTGCCTTCTACTGAATTAGAAGAAAGCTTCCACACATCCAGGGTTTACTGATACTGACTCTAGCTCTTTATGATTCTTTTCCCTAATCCTACCTGGAGATGCTGCAGAATGAATCTGCTATCTATATTTTCTAAATAAGTAAACAACCAAACGAACCTGAGGCCTTTGTACACAACATCTATGCTTCATCACTGTGTTAAGTCTACCATTTTTTCCAAAATGGAAATGGAATTGTATGTAGCAGTTATGCTTGTTCAAATCCTGGAAGCTTTTATAAGTTTCCTTATCATGTAGAGCAGGGGTGTCAAACTCAGGGCCCATGTGCCAGATCCAGCCCGTGGAGTGCTTAGATCTGGCCTGCAAGGCTAGTCTGGAAATAGCAAAGGACCGGCTTGTGATGCCTCTGCCAGAGAAAATGGAGCTCGGGGAGGGGGGGGCTGCATGTGGCCTCTCAGGCTCTGTTTTCATTGGTAGAGGGCTATCAAAACAAACTTAAAACAAAACAAAAGGAGAAATGTTTTCCCTTTTGCATTTGAGCATGAAAGGAGAAAGGGAAAGGGAAGATGGGAAGAGAGCAAGGAAGGAAAAATAAGGAGAAGGAAAAAGAAAGGAGAATGAAGAGAGAAGAGGGAAGGAAAAAGAAGAAAAGGAAGAAAGGAAGGAAAGAGATTTTAATGAGAGTGAGGGGAGGTCTCTGAGAGGTCCTGCTTTAGCATTGGCTAGCACAGGTGCCCCCGACACAAGTCACACCCAACATGGCCATGCCCTGGCCATGCTACCCCCCCAGCCCTCTGAGGTCAAACACAATCCTGAAATTGAGTTTGACACCCCTGTTCTAAGTATAAGTAACATATGTGAATCATTTAAGGCAGTGGTTCCCAAACTTTTTCAGTCCACCCCCCCTTTGGTGCTACAAACTAATCCTCTGTGTCCCCCACCCAGGAGTGGGATTCAAATTTCTGTGGGCATGACATAATTTGAGGGCGTGGCTTGCTGGTTACATGACTGGGTGGGCGTGGCTTGCTGGCCACATGACTGGGTGGGTGTGGCTTGCTGGTCATGTGACTGGCTGGTGTGGCTTGCTGGCTGGGTGTGGTTTATTGGTCACATGACCGGGTAGGTGTGGTTTGGTGGTCATGTGACTCGGTGGGCGTGGCCAGGTAATTGGCAAACCAAATACAAGTGGTCCTCACTTAATGGTTGGTTGTTTAGCAAGTGTTCTAATTTATGGCTGGTCTCCCCAGAGCTACTTCACCTGTTTTTGGAGTTTTGACAGCTATGCACACACACACACACACACACACACACACACACACACACACACACAAACACTCTCTTCTAACCCTTCTGGAGCAGGTCATTTCACTACAATTGGCAAAGCATCTCTGATTAGATTCTAGTAGTGAATAGAATCTAATCAGAGATGCTTTGCTGATTCTTGTTGATTTGTTTTATTTGTATTTATTTTATGTCGCTGAACTGCATCGACCTGTGTCCCTTCTTGTGCACAGTCCCTTCTTGTGCAAGCTTTTGTGATTCTTTGCAGCAAAAATTACTGACCTCTGGCTTTGCTCTACTTTTCAAACGTGCCGCCACTGCCATGTTCTAGGTCCATCCCACTGAGCCCGCTGCACTGCAGGGACCTGCCCAAGCAAGTCCGAGTGAAGCGGTGCACCAAGTCAATGGGGTGAGCCTAAGAGAGGGAAAGAGAGAGACAAAAGAAAGAGAGAGAGAAAGAGAGAAGGAAGAAAAGAAAGAGAAAAGGGAAAGAATGATAAAGGGACAGACAGAAAGGGGGTGGTGGAAGGAAGGGACAGAAAGAAAAAGAAATAAAGAAGGAGGGAGGAGAAAGATAATGAGATATCTATTCTAGTCCAATCACCTGCTCCAGCAGGGTTAGAAGGGAATGTGTGTGTGTGTGTGTGTGTCTGTGTCTGTGTGTGTGTTCTTGTAATTTACCAGTACATTTTGGTTTTGCCTTCTTCAGAATTGGCACTGTAATATATTGGGGAAAAGTAATTTTTAGGGTGGAGATCTCATTCAATGGATCCTGTTTAAAGCCTCAACAAAATCTGAGAGCTTCCTGATAGTCTTGACCATGTTTCGTCCACAAAACCTTTAATAGAAGCCAAAGATGTTTCAATGTGGAAAAGGGCCTCAATCTAAACTAGGCCTCATTTCAATCTGATGCATCAGGTTTCCCTCTCTCTCTCTCTCTCTCTCTCTCTCTCTCTCCCCCTCCCTCCCTGATTGGCTTTGCTCTACTTTCCTGATGTGCCTGTGGGGCTGACAGATGGATAGAGAGAGAGAGAGAGAGAGAGAGGTAGGTAGGTAGATAGATAGATATATTGGTAGGTAGGTAGGTAGGCAGGCAGACCTTTTGGATGGATGGATGGATAGATAGGTAAGTAGATAGATATATTGGTAGATAAGTAGGTAGGTAGGTAGGTAGGCAGGCAGGCAGGAAGACAGAAAGACAGACAGAGACCTTTTGAATGGATGTATGGATAGATATGTAGGTAGGTAGGTAGGTAGATAGATCTATATTGGTAGGTAGGTAGACAGAAAGACAGGCAGGCAGGTAGGTAGGTAAATAGGCAGGAAGGCAGGCAGGCAGGCAGGCAGGCAGGCAGACAGACCTTTTGGATGGATGGACAGACAGACAGACAGAATGTGACAGCGGCAGCACTTTGGGAAAGTAGAGCAAAGCCAAAGTGACTTTCCCAATGTGCTGCCACTGCTGCATTCAATGCCATTGAGCCCCTTGCCCCTCACCGGTGCAACAGTAAATGGGATGACCCTGTGGTGCCAGTTCTCCAAACGCCTCCCTGCCACCTCTGAGTGCCCCCCTTCAGCAGCTGCTTCTGAGCAAAGCCCGTCCCACCTCCTGTAATCCCCAACATCACTTCACACAAACTTCTAGGCCATGGCCCACCAAGCAAAACCTCCCGACACTCAATTCCATCAAGAACACTCAACATGCCAAAAGGCCTACCCTACGTAATTCCTGCGACACAACTATGAGGCGGCGCATGCACTTTTACCTCGCTTCCTTGGGGAGACCTTCCTCACAGCCAGCTTGACCCGGCCCATGTGGGGACCTGTCGCGGCTCAGTGTAAGCGACACTTCCGGGATAGGAACGGTGAATCCCGCCTGCAGCGCTGTGCTGCGCTGATCTCCTGTGCCTGCGAAAAACCTCCAGCCGCCACATGTTTTTTTCAGTGTGGCTGGACTCCTCCAGCACCCCCCTGCCACCTCTTAGCGCCCCCTGCCAGTCTCTTGCCTCTTAGCGCCCCCCCTGAGGCATCCCACTGCCCCCCAGGGGCAGTACCACCCACTTTGGGAACCACTGATTTAAGGCATAGATCATCAACATGAACTAAGAGGTGATGCTCTCCAGATGGTGAGGACTACAATTCCCAGGGTTCTCATGCAAATGATGGGTTTCATAATCCCCGCACATTTGGAAAACACCATAGTCAGGAAGGCTGAGATAAATCAACTTGCAATGCAGCAAATTAATTAAAAATTAATGGAATAACAGACCATCTCAACTCTTAACAGCTAATGTTGTCCATATGCAGATTTATTCATGCCAGTCCTTGATGAATGGACTTGTATAGATCCAGCATGTCTAAAGTTTGCTATACCTTATCTCCATTAAGGTAATATTCTCTTTAAAACCATTTATTAGAAATGTTACAAAATTTTCCTCTAGGAGCTCAAAGCAGTGCACATCATTCTTTTCCAAGTTTATTCTGACAACAACCACCCTAAGAGACAACTAATTTGAAATCTCCCTATACATTTTTGCAGATGTATATAGTGTTGAACCTGGATTTACCTGGGCATAATCCAACACTTTAACCACTATGCTAAGCCAGTGTCAAGTTCCAGCCAAAAGAAATGAGGGTTAGATTGTTGCTTATGTACTTCTATATGACTACAAGACAGACCTGACCACAACACAACTTGTCTTCTTCTACCATGATGACTACATTTTATATTTTTCAAAAAATATTCAGCATCTCCACTATTCATTGTAGGGAGTTAGCACCGACCCCTCTTCTAGAAAATTGAAATAGCCTAGGAAATATTAAAAAGGCAGAATATTTCCTCTAAAAAAGAGTAGAAACTCAGAAGCAGAAACTCACCTCAGAAGCAGAAACTCACCTCAGAAGCAGAAACTCACCCCCACCTTTGTTAATGGGTGGGCCATTAAGGCCTGAGCCAGTCTATTCTACACAACAAAAGATCTACCTTCTTCAGACAGAGCCATTAGGAATTACCCAAAGCCCTTTCATTACATCATCATCCAGCAAGGCTCAACCAAGCCTGGAACTCAGGACAGCCTACAGAATTGTTCCTCATGGGAGTCTGACAACCAATCAGAATACAAGCTCAAATTCAAATCCCAACAAAAGATATAAAACCCAGGCACTCTCAGCACCTCAGCACCTCACCTTGGAGCATGTGATCATCCTTCTCTGAAGCTTCAAGCCATGTGGTCCTGATATTAAACCTTCCAAACAGCCTCTATGTTTCCAATTTCTTTTTCCCACTTGGAACTGAACCCAGAAGGATATTTCTTCCAACATCTGTCAAAAGCATTTAGAGAACTGTGCCCTCTGGAACTAAAGATAGTGCAATTGTCAGCTTTGGAAGCCATATTGAAATTTGATGCTCCCACGCTGCCACAAGCCTGAGAAAGTGGGAGGGGAGGATTCAATTGAGTATCTCTAAGTAGAAAAATAAAATTCTTTTGCTAGTTCAAGGTCATTGAGTATGGTGCAGAATGAAATAAGAATCTTACTTTAGGACGGATCATGATTGGGCCTTGTGATGTGATGACGGCCAAGGTGTGTGTGTGTGGATTTGTAGTTTTGAATATTGTAAGGAAGCCGGAAACGTTCAGATTTGAGATTCCACAGATGTGCCAGTTACTATCCAAATAAAGCAATCTTTGAGAGATGTCTATCTGGAAGTTATTGGTTGAAAAGGAGGGTTGCTAGAATGCTGACAGCATTTTTTTAACCAATATTATATATCTAAATAGTTCCATTCTTCTATATTCAATTTATTTGTAAAATTGTTCCCACTTTCATTTGTAGATTCTTTCCAGTGGAGAAATTGGAACAAGATTCATTTGTAGAGGTTTGTACCCTCTGATGTCAATCACAGCAGAATCCGTTTCAGAATATACTGCCCACAATTCATCACTTGACAAAATTAACTTGCAAAGCATTCTTATTATGTTAAATCCCTTTTTAAAAATCTCCCATAGGAAGTATCTATTTAACCAGAGTGAATGCCATTTCTATATACTTGTCAATCCTTTGGGCAAACAATCTTTACACAGTCAGCAAATTAAGATGTAAACCAAGAAGCCAATCAGGATCTCTGTAGGTACTCCCTTTTCACAAACAATATATGGTCCTTAATTTCCTACCAGGAAATTATAGCCTCTGCTGAGATTTCAAGATCTGATTAGTTTCAGAGACTTAGGGTTTTTTTTTTAAAGGCCTGTAATTCAAAATAAAGATATAAACATTACAAGCATCCCTCTGCCCTGATTCCAATGAAACCGGCTTAGTAGAGACCCTTGGGGAGAAAGGAATGGGACCCTCAAGATTCTAAACTGATAAGCTATGAATAACATTCTCATAAAGCTCAAGATTGCCCAGATAGACACATTGGAAATAATTACAGTGATTAAATAGAGTTGCAAGCAGCGATAGCTGCAGGCAACATGAGTGAAGCCTACAAAGAAAACAGCTTTGGCCTATGTTTGTGATTTATGCTGTTGCACAAGTTTCTACAAGCAAGGCACCACCTCTTGGCAAATTGCCACCCCTGACTTGCTACAGTTAAGTAAGTGCACTGGCTTTAAAAGAGAGCTGAATTCTAGAAATAAACATTTCATCGTTATATTTTCTTCTTCTTTTTTACAAAATTATTTGGCTTTTAAGTGCATCTGTTGCTATTGTGCTCTGTACACT